AGGTTGGGTTTACACAGTTGCATCCCTTAGCAGCACAAAGATCTGCTGATATGTCTTTTCGAATTCCATGTTCACTAATGTAATGATGTTTTCTTTGTCAGCAATTTACCCAAGTTTCTGGGGGAATGTTATATCTTTGTATCTGCATTACTTCAGGCTTTCCTCCCTCATGATAGTGACAAACTGTGATATATCTGAAATACAGGTAAGAGCAGAGTACAATTCTACATTTTGCTCTTACTTTCTTCACATATGGTTTGGTCACCTTGGTTACAGATCAAATTTCATGCAGGATATGTTAGCCAATTTTAATTGAAAATGTCTTACTGTTTCAGCAATTTGAATGAATTTTACCATATCTCCATTACCATATATGGTGTGAAGTTGACTACAGTGCTGATGGTTGATCACAGTGAAGGATCTGTAGGATCATGTTGTATTTCCATGGGCACAGATGCTGATGTTTTGTCTATTTTTTGTGTGTGTCTTTAAGTGATCTGAAGCTGATTTTTGATCATTATATATGTGATCTGAACTTGTCAGCAATTAAAAGCACCGATATTCTAAGGTAAATACTTGCTTTCATGTTGTTGGTGTTCGTGATTGAAAATATATGGGAACATCTTTTTTATATTTTGATATATCAGTATGTTTTTGTAGGACTCCAACACACCTTGAACATTGTTATTCCATCCAACTTCAAAACGTATTACGCAAGTCCTTACATGACATAGGTCACTGAAGGAACCAGACATTTGCGATTTCTAGCACTTTCGTAAAATCACTTAAACATTTGAAATAACAGCACAATGGTCAAAAGGTTTAAAAGCTTTACTGTGTATATCATGCATTTTTTCAGACCATTGACCAAAGTTTAACTGTATATATGTTAACACGGAAATGTTTTTTTCTTACAATAACATATAACCTGTCAAAGTTGCACCAAGGTTATTGTATAAACAATCAATGCCAAAAATCAATATTTTTTTGTGTACAGAACACCAACAGTTGTCACACAGTAGAAGTAGGTTTTCTGACATGTAGATCACAAATTGTAAAATAGTATTTGACAAATGCACTATGAAAGATCATATTAATGATATTTATATGTTTTAAGCCACTAAGGTTTTCTTCTCTTACCCCCTCTTCTATCACTTCTCTATAACCCTTTCCCCATTATATCCTTCTGAGTACACACAAGTTAGTTCCAACACGAACTGAGATAAGAATTTATCTCAAACCTTGGTCTTTATGTGTAGATGGTGTTTTATGTCACTGACAAAATCAGTTGGGTGAAATTTTCACAATTTTCAAAATAAACTCCCTATTGTCACCACAGTCGTTCTTTAACACGTTTTATCTTCAAAAGTTTGATGTTTTAGTGATAATTATATGGACTGTTCTTTCATTTCTCAGCCTAGACTGTATCTGTAGACTATGCAAATGTGTGTGTATCATAGTGTAAATTATCATGGAATAGGTACATCTGAGTTGCTATGGTTACTCGTGAGCGTCTGATAAATGAAACCATGTCTCATGTATATAGGAAACAGCTATGGCTGTTCTGTCTTGAGTACTCATGCTTGATGTCTTTTTGTATGGTATGGTGTTTCAGATTTCTTCCCAGGATTTGTTGGACATTGAATCCACTTCAGGTTGCCATGTCAACTCAGTAATGTATCGGTTTAAGCTGTGGTGGAGGTAGCCAAGTTATCATAATGTTGAGAAATCATGGGTGATTCCAAGAACATGCAGGGTGTCTCATTTAATGTGGCTCCCTGAAGATCGGTAAAAGTGTGAGAAAGTGTGTATGGTTTTAAGACAGTAAACATTACCACGGTTTAATTCTTAAGATTGTTTAGATCTTGCTGTCCCTTTCTGTAATACAACAGACCCTTCCAGGGGCATGTTTTAGTTTTGTTGTATTACTCTGCTTGTCATAATGGACACCACTTCACAGGTGTATGGCAAAATCATTATTGTTTCCAATCTACCTATTTTGATACTTTGTTCTGTATAATTCTGTTTTAGCAACAATGGTGCATTATATTTTCACACATCCTGATTTATACCACACACCTACAATCAAAATATATTAAAAGTTTTACTATTCCTGCCCGACTAAAAATGTTCAGAGATAAAACAAAGAAAAAGTGTGATAGAACGTTTTAAAATGATGGACCCTTTTCTTGGGACTGTGTGAAACACAATATACCTGATAGAAGTCAATATAGAAAATGGTATGGACTTTTGTTCCCTTGTTGGTTGTGTTGATTTGTTTGTTTGATGAACAGTTTATTTGTGTATGTCTTTAATAATCAATATGTTATTCAAGGAAAACTGTACTAGTAATTATGATTCAGTAAACAAAATGTCTGCCAAAGCCTTGATGTTTGTATCTTACATCCATTTTGCAATCAGTCATTTTGTATCATCAGTCATTCAACTATTTCATTTCACTATTGTGTCGGTGTTTGTTACCATTCAGAAGTATTGCTTTCTAGACAAGTTGTTTACAGTTGTTCCAACTTTTCCAATAAAACGGCTTATTTCTATTGTCGTGTTTGTTCCTCTGTACCAGAAATATCCAGAGAAAAGGGGATGGGCTATCCAAGTTTGTTTTGGATGAGCAGTCCCTCCCACCAGAGACCATATAATAGATATTATATGGTCTCTGCTCCCACCCATGGGGATTCCAAGGCAGCATAGGCCCCACAACCAAACACTTGGCTTATTAACAGACATCTGGTGACCTCATACAACTGTTTTTTTACAGGCCCTTAGTTCAGTTGAGTAACCTCTGAGCAGGGATTATCTACTGAATATTCACTTTCAAAAGTCCCAAGGTTTTCCCGAGTGTAAAGTTTGTTTGGCATGTTTTGAATGTCCCCAGTTAGTGACTTATGTTTCTTAAACACAACTTTCAGCAAATTCTAGCCTGTCAGCGTTTTGTCCCCAACTTCGTGTTATCACTATTGTTTCTTCTGGAGGTGAAGACAAAAAACTTCCTGTTATTTTTTCATATCAAATTGAACTAAGACTGGAAAGGGGTTCGATAATTATGCAGGTGAAAATGTAAACTAAATTTGACCTTCATCCAGATGATCAAAAACACAAATTCACATCGTATTGACACAATTTATTCAATAGCCATTGGTTGTTGAACATGACAAGACGATGCCAGACATACCTTCACAAACTAAGCACAGTCAAACCTCCAACCTGTGTGACCATCAGTTGGACCTCATCTATATACACAGGAATACTGCCTACCAATACTAGCAGTAGAGCTCACACACCATAGGCAATGTCATCAATTAACTGTCCTCATGCACTTCCTCCAAAGATTCCATGAAAGGAGACTTGTAACATCTTGAGATATTGTTGTAGGTGTCTCCATGAGGATAGGATCACACATTACACCATTCAGTCTAATCTCATTCAAACACAGGTAGTAGTAGGGGAAGTAGTCTCAAAATCCAGGGTTACCCTTTATGTTACTAGTACCCTTAATGATACCATGCACCATGTTATTTAAGTACTGCAATACCATCAACACCCGGCTCAGATCAGCTAAGATAATGAACATCTCTGTTGCTTCAGTGGCAAGTATGAATGTGAGCCATTGAGATGAGATCTCCCATCAAGCAGATCTCAAGAACCTGCTTGAACACATGAAACATTTCATAATCAGATAGCATGCATTCATTTAAGCTTGTTGGAAATATGTGCGTTCTCTTCAATGTCAGAAATAATTTCTCCGCTTCATATTCAACATGTCAAACATTTGGCTATATGCTCTATTTTCAACACTACTGTACTGTACTGTTCTGTTCTGTACTGTACTGTACTGATTAAACACAATTGAGGGGACTACTATATTACAAATGTCATGTCATGATCATTTCACATACATAAATGAAGGTTCATGAAGATATCAATCTAAGGGAATTATGTCCTTCAGCATTAACACATGCAAGAGAACAATTCAAACATATGAAAATATTTTTTTATATGAGAAATTTATGATGAGACATTCCTTGTGAGAATCCTGACAAAAAGCACCAACAGCACTGAACCACCTTTGATAATGTAAAATACATCTCACACTGTATTACATTTGTATTTTAACAGCTGTGAAACATGCACATATATCAATGTTTCATAGTCCAGGGACACAAGATCATGCTAATATCCATCTTCCTGCAAATCTATGCCCATAACCATATACAACTCCTCAGCTTTCAGACATTCCATGGAGGTTCCTTGCAGTAGCGGGGTAGAATAGGTCTTCAGCAACCCATGTGCTTGCCATAACAAGGCGACTATCTTGTCGTAAGAGGCGACTCACGGGATCGGGTGGTCAGTTTCGCTGACTTGGTTGACAAATGTCATCGGTTCCCAATTACGCAGATCGATGCTCATGCTGTTGATCACTGGGTTGTCTGGTCCAGACTCGATTATTTACAGACCGCCGCCATATAGCTGGAATATTGCTGAGTGCGGCGTAAAACTAAACTCACTCACTCACTCCTTGCAGTAGCATCAATTTTATTTGATCTGACATGATGATGTGAGGTGACAAATACTTCACAAAACATTGCTGAGTGGTTGAGAAGATGTCTTCAATCATATACAACTAAACAAATCTACATCTGACATATTTACTCAAATAAAGTGAATTGTAATGAGATTTACTTATTAACAATAACGTAAACAAAATTTACAATTCAAACTGACCTGTCTGTGAATTAAATTTGAATGCCCGATTGCCTTGTGAAGTCCATTCACAAGAGAAATCTTCTCAGTATAAATTTCTAATGACTGACTGACTGACTGAGTTTGGTTTTACGCCGCTTTTAGCAATATTCCAGCAACATCACGGCGGGGGACACCAGAAATGGGCTTAACACATTGTGCCCATGTGGGGATTCGAACCCGGGTCTTCGGCGTGACGAGCCAACGCTTTAACCATTAGGCTACCCCACCGCCCCAAATTTCTAATGAGTCTAATTAGGCAGTACACTATGGGTATGATCACTCGGAGGTTGTTCAGAAGAATCACGTCAGTAGGCTGTTGCATGGTGTCAGTGTCATTGTACAGGTCCACGTTTGAGTCAGGTGTTCATGGTCATGCGTGAATGATTATTAAACCTGTGCAAGGTTCATCTCTGTGTGGTAGATGAGTTGTATGTGTGTCATTTCAAAAACAGTGAGCAAGGGAGACAATTGATGCAGTTCTAGATCTTGACTGTGAAGGTAACAGGCTTGGAGCCCTGTGCACCCAGTTTAAAGAGAGCCTTGTGCACAAGAGATGGCTCTACTGCAGACTCTGCTTCAGCTTGGGCACGTAGGATGGAAGATGCTGATGATGCTTGTTTCAACAGCCTGAAAGTAAATCAGGAGTATTTGCTGAACATTGAGTGAGAGAGAGTTAAACAAAGGGTTTTACACCTGATCCCTGCAGTGAAAGGGGATGCAACTCCTTTCAGAGAAATACAGCACCTTGGACAATTTGACTTTCCTTGTTCTCAAAGTGTTTCATGATGAAAGTACATATCTGCACAATCAAATTCAGGTACACCTACACAATTATGATTATAAAGTTTATAAGAAATATTTAAATGTGTGTGATGTGAATTTATTTGCCATTTGAAAAGCCACAAACTGGTCTGTTTAAAGAGGTTACATTTCATACTTGCAACATAAGAAACCATAACTTACTTGAGAGGCCCCTGTTTTGATGCATCTGTACTGTCATCGGCCTCAGCTGGTGCTACAGCTGGAACTTTCACCGTTGCTGTGGTAGATGTCAGCAGCTTCACCTGCATTGGCAGACCTAGGGTGAGAAGAAAAAGGTCAGTACCATCTCCACAACACCACACTGACCACTGACTGGAGGGAGACAGTCGCCCTGACATGGGACATGCTTACTGGGCTATGTGTTATGTCAATGCTGTTTTATATCACAGTCCGCTATATTCCTGTTAAATCACTTTGGTCTGTAAATAATCAGTTGTTGATAGCAAGATCAATGATCCATGCTGTCAGTGGACAACAAGCCAGAGTCAGGCAGAATCCGATAGGGCACTCACCCATAAATGTGAAACAGAGGACATATTGTACCTTTGAATCCACACAATGTTACTCAGTCAGGGTACAGGGACTCATAAGACTCCAGATGAAAGACTTGCTGCCATATCCAATATTTTAATTAGTTTCAGTAACTCATATTGCTGTTATTAGTGGAAACAAAATCATCTCTCAATTTCAGTTTGAAAATAAAATGAATATCAGTCAAACTGATTCCTATGCTCTCTAGTATTCTCTACTGCAAGACTAACAGGGCTTGACACCAACATCTCCACTCACCATCCAGCTCCCTGTTGTGATATTTCTGTACAGCCTTGACGGAATCATCCTTCTTCACATACACAACCTCCGCAGTCCCTTGTTTTATCAGCTTGGCTTTTCGAAGTGCACCTATTGCACCAAACAACTCCTAAAAACGAAATACAAAAATATAAATAAAACTAAAATAACATAAATCAGGTAACATTTATTAACCGATCTTGGATATAATTTACCAAACATGGAGAAATGTGTATGTCTTGTAGACAGTATGAATAGAATCAGATGCACAGCATTGTTAACCAATAAGCAATTAGTACAAATCAGGATAAGGCAAAATATGTGTATATTTTTGTACTTACAATGATATCATCTTGGTTGACCACCGGATGAAGGTTAGTGACATACACTCGATAACCTTGCAGTGGACTGAGGATGTCTTGAGTCGTTTCCTCTTCCTCCTTTCAAAAGAGGAACACCAATCAATGTGTAATCTTAGCTTAAAGAGCCAAAACATGAGTGGTGTCATGTGTGCAATAATCAGGAGATGGCGACACCCTATCTGCCAGGCCATTGCAGATTTGTCACTGACACTAGCCTCAGTTACGTATCTTTTGATGGAAAAAACCCTGCTTGGTTGTAAACAGCCTTGTAAAAGTGAAGCCACACAGAGTAAACTTCAACTCGAGATAAAGCTGAGAATGTCTCCAGATACTTGACCCAATTCAAATCTCCAAGGCTGACTGAGTTGGGTTTTAGGCCACTTTTAGCAACATTCCAGCAATATCACAGCAGGGGACACCATAAATGGGCGCTTCACATATTGTACCCACATGGGGAATCGGACCCAGGGCTTTGGCGTGACATGTGAACACTTTAACCACATGGCTACCCCACCACCCAAAAATCTCCAAGAATGACATTCAATGATATTATTCAATAAATAACAAGCTTTGGAGACACAAACATGTTAGGATCATGTTGATAGTAGGTGTGTAGATTGATACAGAAAAAGTACATCATGATTCTTGTGATAGTTGATATACCGGTACAACATGCAGATACATTATATTTCATAATACAACCAAATGTCTCTAAAGGAATCACAAAATCTAGCTATGACTATCACATAATATTATACTACCAGTGTTGTTCACTGCAGTGTTTGACTCAGAGCTGACCATTACCTCTTCTACAGGCTCTTTCAACTGAATCTTGGTCTGTTTGATGACAGGTTTGGCTACAGGAGCTGTCATCTTGGCTTTCTTTGGTGGAACTATAACAGGAATGTGAGGGCCTCCTGGTGGCTTCACAAACTTCAGAGGACCACTTGACTGAACTGGTGCTGGTTGGGGAGCCTTCCGTTTTAATACAGTCGTTGCTGGCACACTTTTTGGCGCACTTTGTACAGGGAATGGAGTAGTTCTGATTGTCTTTTTAATTCGTAAGAGCTCTGGCTTAATTTCTTCTGAGTAACCTCCCAAATTTAAATCATTTTCGTCATCAAAACTGTCCATTTCATTGTATTGTGAATACTGATTGTCCTGGGGCTCACTCTGAGGTGGGTCTTCCTCTTGCTGTGGAGAGATGTAATATAGGGTAGAGGTGTATATGATTCAAAGGGGCGTTACTATGGTCAAAATTTGGTCTCACACATAAGACCGACAAATCAATATGACCAGGTACCTGCAAAATAACACCTGTAAAAATCTGGGTTAGAAATAGTATTCAGCAACCAATGCTTGTGGTAAGATGTGAATAACGTGATCGGATGATCAGGCTTGCTGACTTGGTTGATGCATGTATATATCCCAGTTACAAAGATTGATGCTCATGCTGTCAATCACTGGATAGTCTGGTCCAGGCTCAGTTATTTACAGACAGCCATCATACAACTGAAGAACTGCTGAGTGCAGTGATAACCATCAAGCAAAAGAAATGTTCAAAACAATCACTCACTCTCTGAAAATCTTTGTGCACATCTGTATTATGCTCATAATAGCACTATCACTTATGACACAAGCTTCTGTGTCTGACCTGAATTATGAACAAATAATCACCAACAAGTTCAAAGTCAGACAGAAATATTGTGAGCAGACAGTTTCAGCTCCACAGCTTTAGTGAGTGAGTATGGTTTTACGCCACTTTTAGCAATATTCCAGCAATATCAAGATGGGGGGACACCAGAAATGGGCTTCACACATTGTACCAATGTGGGGAATCAAATCCGGGTCTTCGAAGTGATGGGCGAAAACATCAACCACTGGGCTACCCCACTGCCCTATCCTGTCACTTTGGAAGTGATTTTAAAAAATGCAAATGGACGAACAACATGCCATAACACTGTCTTAGTCAGGTAAGGAACAATAGTGCTGGTAACCAACACTTCCTAAACTAGAAGTTTTCTCTCAATTATGAAGTACATGATAACTCAGACAATTTTTGTGCGAACTTAAACAAGAATGTACCTGATACTGTTGTGTTCTCTTTGTAACAGTCAACATGCTGCCTTCAAATGACACAGTGGCTGATGGGACAGCTCGTGTCACCTTTAGTCCGCCATTGGTCAACTGAATCCTTGATGCTATCCCACTTTCACTGGACTGTGAAGGTGTGTTGTTCAGCTGAAAACACATGGAACAATATCATGTAGTTATTTTATACACCTACTTCCACAGTTCCATTTAGGCTGCTTTAGACAACAAAGTATGACTATGTACATAAAAAATTCAATGAAACTAATACTTACAGTTCGAGTAATCAGTCCTGTCTTCTGAACCTGATGGGTTCCCGCACTGCTGGTCTGTGTTGACAAATAAAATCACTTCAATAATCATTATAATCAAGCATTATTTACCAGTGGTAATTACAGACCAAAGAATTTAAGTGCATTACACTGAGTAAATTCCCTTCCAAATACACATACACATGACAAATGGGTAGGCCTTTCATGTAAAGATGACACAGTCTTACCATATTTAAGATAACTTTAATAATACTAGTCTCAATCTAAAAAATCAGAGAAAGAAGAAATGGTAAACACCACGAACATGCTGCTAGTCATACTAATATAATGAACTGTCATTGAGAAGACTCATGAGTTAACATGTTTAAGCTGGAAATTCTTTTATTTATATTTCTGGCTGTAAAAATGAAGAGGTATATAATGTCACCCTTTCATCAGTTTGACGTAATACAACTACTGACACTGCTATAGAACTATTAACTATTGACTGTGTTCAGACATTATCATGACTATCACCAGCTTTTTAAATGCTAATATGATAATAATACAACATTAATGGCAAACCTGAAATCACACAATTATCAGTGAGTATATCCTTATTAGTCTTGAACCATTGTAGACTGTTTACTTACAGTTCTGATAAATGTTCCTTCTGTACCCTGGGAAACATTCCCTATCCCAGTGATAGTCACTTGTGGCTGCTGATTGGGTGGCTTGATAGCAATCCGTGATCTGGCATCATATGGTCCTTTATTTGTTTTCAATGCAATTATCTTCTTCCTGGCATCATGTCCCAGCTCCCCAAGTTTCACAGTTAAAGTACGTTCTTCCGTTTTCCCACTTGCTGGCCTGGTCACCTGTTGCCTGATGCCACTGCCTGGTCCAACAACCTTCTGCCTTAATCCCGGGGCTGACACTGTTTGTCTAGTCCCCTGTCCCGGGCCAGTTATTCTCTGTCTTATCCCACTTTGGACATTTACTGTATTTGACCCAACTTGCCCTCGAGGTCCACTTATTTTCATCCTGGCATCCAGAGGTTTTTTCGTCTGAAGACGTTCTCTGGCATCGAATTGAACCTTTGGTCCAATTTTCTGTCTGGCATCAAAACTTTGAACATTTCCAAGTCCAGTGACCATCACAGCGGGGCCTCTGTTCTGATTGGACTGAATCCTATTGATTCCTCCAGGATTGTTCTGATTTTTACGAGTAGTGAAGCCAGTCTGCCCCCCTCGATTTGTGAAGCCTGTTTTGCCACCCCGAGTTGTGAAGCCAGTCTTCCCTCCCTTAGTTGTGAAGCCAGCCTTCCCTCCTCGAGTTGTCAGACCTACATTACCTCCTTTGTTCCAGTCATTTCTGAAATAGCCATCATAACTATTATTGTGGTCATGGTACTGTCTTACAAAGATATGCATTGCGCAAACATGATTAACATAACATGTGATATGAAAACATTGTGTGTAGTTTTACTAGTTTTGATAATCAACGATTTATAGGTTATTCAAACAAATGAAAACTGCAACAGAAAGTAATTGATTAGAAATACCTACGTACAAATGTGCAGGTGTAATGGGGTATCTGAATTTTCATGCCCATAAACTGTAAAATTAAAATCCTACAGTTAATACTATTGTCAAAATGTATTGAAAATCACCCATTTTGTGAAAACACATTGACTATTGACTGATAACATTTATTTTGCAAGTTATTAGCACTATGCAAGTGATTATTTCAATTACAATGAAAGCCTGGTAGTCCTTGATAAATGTTGAAGCTGTGTCGGATATTCATTACTTATATGTTGAGATTTTTATGGTTGTTTCTTGTTCGCAACATTTTAGCTATATGACAGTCAGTAAATTCTGGACTCTTGACAGACAGTCCAGTGATGAACTGACTTGGTTGATACATGTCATGATATCCCAATTGTGTAGGTCAATACTACTCATGCTGTCAATCACTAGGTGGCTTGTCAAGACTTGAGGATTTGCAGACTGATATCATACAGCTGGTATATTTCTCAGTGTGGCAATAAGTATAGTATAAGTATAAGTAACAGGCAACCAATTAGCTGAACTACCCATCCCAGTAAATGCACAACTCCCTTTGTGGCAACATACGTAACACAAAAAATATGTAAGAATGACACCGAAAGTGAAGTGCAAATCAAAACGAACTAGTTATACGGATATATGGATCACGTATATCACACGTCTTGCCAATCCATAATTTTTTCTTAAAACCCCAACATTGTAAGGGTGTACATACACAGCTCTTGAATTATGAATGGAAAAACAACGTATTATTTCCTACAAGAGACAGTTATAGGGATCGACAACGTACACTGTACTAATCTCCAAGCGTAAATGTTCTTCAATATTAAACAACGTCACGTTGTCCATATGAGAAATTTACTTTGTGATCTAAATCATAAGTGAAAGTAGAACGGTTGCAGGCTAGAATATAGACTTTGTCAACTATATATTATTATCTCTAGAAAATGGAATTTTGCATTAACACCATACGAAATATTTCAAATTAAGAGTATATTTACTGGATCTGAACGCGGAAATTCTTCTTCTGAATGTAATCGTCTAACGAGACGTCAGCCATTTTGGAAAAATCAACTGGATCTCACTGCGGTATAGAGTCGTATCTCAAATTCTTGCTAGTGTATCACAGCGCTTTACATATTTATGCGTAATAATTTTCGGAATCTTCGCTTAAAATTTATATTTCCCTTAATATTAGTTAAAGAAACCAGGGTATTATTTGATGATAGGCCCGCAGTCAAAGCAATAACAAATACACAAAAATTTAAAACGGAAACGCAGTGTAACATAACCGAATATTACAATTTATTTGATCAAAACTTATTCATTATAAACTACCTACATGTCCAAATATTTGATGATAACTATGATGCCTTTTTCTAACAATGTTTCATGGTTTATTGAAAAACGTAAATCTATAGTTTCGTTTGGGATTCCAACATTTCGCACACTGGTAAGTTCCGAAAACACAAACACACGTGTGTCAGGGGATGACGGATGTGTTGTAATTCTTCGTGTTTACTGTGGACTAGATTTGGTTGTAAGTTGTTAGAACTACGACTCACCGCAGGAGAGCTGTTCACCGGGCGTAGACCGAGTGGACGAAACCCGCTCTCCCCCAAGCAATTACCGCGATATAGCGCTTCTGGTGTTTCGCTATATCGCCGGCTTTGCTCACGCTCCAGCAGCTTTAGCTCCCTCTTGGGTCTTGGGGAGCTGAGTAGCAAACACCCCTTTCATGCCTGTGCTATCCTAAATTAACTGACTCATTGTTACTAGCAACCTCAGTTTTACGATCCGTAGGGAAAGAGTTGGTAACCTGCATATCTTACCATGTCTCACAGTAATAATATATCAAGAGACCCTCTATTATCGCGGTAGTTAATGTTGTCGCCATCGGGATTATGAACGGCTACTGACATTTAGCATTTTATGTATATTTTCAGTTGACTGATGTTTAATCTTCATTTCTGGGAGCACCTTTAGAATACAGCACCACAACTTCTCGTGAGGACGATCTCTGCCGTAGGTCACGTGTCATTAAGACAAGCAACCAGTTTGTGAGAACCCGTCGGACGCGAACCCGCGACCTTCGGATTGTTAGCTCGACAGCTAACCGACTGAGCTACGTCCACACTGTTGCACAGTGTGCAAATTTATCGAGTCATTCCTGTGACGTCACGGAAATGAACGGAAAGAATCGAATAGGTCACGGACAATTACGAATGCTACGGGTAGACTTGGTGTCATGTGATTTTATTCCACGGACAATTGCCGAATGGATCCGATGCCATTTGGCACACTCGCCCCATTCCGTAATCTACAAATTAACGCGGTGGCGGAATGAGCCGATATGCCTCAAACGGAAAAGGGTTGTTGACGCCAGGCCAGACGAGATTTCACGGTGTATGCATGAATGACGCTTTTATATAAATCGGTGATTTTGTGACAGAAAAGTGATGTAGGGAACACTGTAAGGATAATGTGGATCGCACTAAGGAACGAGGGAGACATGAGCATGTGTAGTGACGCACGAGGGTGAGTTAGCCTTCGAATCATTACTTTACAAAATTTCTGTATGCGTGTGAAAGAGGCTTCAGTGCAAATTCCAGGCCAATTTCCATTAGCCCAAAATTTCTACATTAACCCATTTCATAATGTACTTTCGACGTTTTTGGTTTCCCGTTTTTGTGTGAAAAAAAAGTATTAAAATGCAAAAAGGAAAAACATCAAATGGTACTCACGTATTACACCGGACATGTACCTACTATATTGGATTAGGTCCCTAACCCTAAACCCTAAACCCTCAGCCCTAACCCTAACCCTAACCCCTTGAAATAATCCTAATAAATAGAATGCATTGACCGAACCACCGGACATGTACCTACTATATTGCATTAGGTCCTCAACCCCAACCCTAACCCTAACCCTAACCCTAACCCTAGCCCCAGCTCTAGCCCTAATCCTAATCCTAACCCTAGCCCTAGCTCTAGCCCTAATCCTAACCCTAGCCCTAGCTCTAGCCCTAACCCTAACCCTAACCCTAACCCTAATCCCTTGAATTAATCCTAATAAATAGAATGCATTGACAGAACCGGCACAAACACGACTGACGTGTCTAGTGTAAGGCATTATTACCGCTTCGAAATAAAAAATACTAATAAAACACTTTTCTATGTAATGGTGCAACTTACTGAATGACAAAAATATATATGTAAATTTAAAAAATTACAAGATACAAAATACACAACACATAACACCTCAGCAGCCCGTAATACAAATAAATATGAGCGTATTAGTGAAAAAAGAAAAATATTTCAAACTGGTGCTTGCAAAATATTGCGGATCCGCCGGTATGCCACTACTGGAAACTCTCAACATCGTTGAGCTTATGCAATGACATAGCTCGTAGAGATGAAACACCAGTGAGCGGAGCTTATACGCACTCGCTGAGCCAGACAACCGTGTTGCCATGCAGGCGTCATAGGGCATTGTTTCGATATCGTGCTTTCGAACAAAATCACATTACATTACGTAAAAGGGTATTATGACGTATTTTTAAAGTTTGTGGTGCTGTATTCTAAAGGTAGGCCCATTTCTGTCACAAATAATGTGACACATGGTCGCAACTCGTTTAATACCATTGCGGCAATTCCGATTGTCTCGTTTGACCCGGAAATTGAAGCAACTCTCTATTATCGCGGTATTGCTATTTTCTTACTATGGCACGCGGTACAAGCAGATGACACTGTGAAACGTTTACTAAGACAAGTAAAGTAATTTGATCATTAAAAATATTTAGGAATTTCATTCACATTAGTAATATTATCAAGTTTTTAACCCAAACATCTGAAACTTCTATTGATTCGGATACAAGGTAACAATAACGTTACAAAATATTGTTTTTCCGGCTTAAAACGTACCATACAAGTTGCTGCCGTGTGCAGAGTGAAGTTGCATAATACGTCACTTCCTGTTATATTTTTAGCACGGAAAATATGCAAATGACCTTATAGTTGTCGCAGGATTGCTCTTGATGAAGTAAGTTTTGATTCATGCTAGATGTAATGGCAGTAGGGGTCATACTAGTTTCAAAATGTTCTAGAACTTACTGAAAAGATGAATGCTTTAATATTTCTCCGATTACACATAACATTCAAATGAAATAAATGACTTTTTCAAGAGTGATGAATATATTTTACGTAATTTGCATATGTAAACAGCTGATGCGGGGCGTGGTGTTTCTGCTTTCCCGATGTTTTCGCGTGCCGCGATAATAGAGAGTCCCAGTATAATTAGGAAGGCATTTCCTATTCTCGCGGTACTTACGGATATCGGCTGAAAAAATAACAAATAATTCTTATCGTATTAATGCTTGTTGTTTTTAAATGAAAGGCCTTCTCCTTTAACATCTACATCTATCAGCTGCCAGATCCATCAGGTGAAATACCACTAGTGAGCCCGGTGATAAACAATGCCATCCGACACTGACAAAACGAGGCTTCTCCCATTCTCGCGGTATTACCAGGAATTAACGTTATTGAGTGTATGTAAGAGCAATCCTGCCGGAAAGGGCGGGAAAAAATAATGATATATTCCAAGTTGGTATAAACTCCCCAATATTCCTGACACTGCAAGATTTTGATCACTCACAGACTTGGTCCACTTCCTAGTTACCAGTCGGTGATGTAATCAACCGCTAAGTGTCACGCATTGGCGATTTCGGCAGAAAACGTGTTTACCGCGAGAATAGGAAACCCCCGAGAATAGGAGACGGACCTATATGTCCAATTAGAACACTCCCAGCTGCTCAATTGGGTGTTCGTGTTAGATAGAAACTGGCAGGTGTGATCACCCGTATATCAGAGCACTCTTGGTCCTGTGGTAGAGGGTTTGCTATTGGCATAACTAATAAACTAAGGCTGAACGGGTTGTTGTCGGTACAGCTAAGTACTACAGATGTGTACCCCAGGTAGGCTTCTGTGGATAGAAATGTACCATAGCTAAAATCAGAATTCAGAAACGTACCCTTTGATGATTCCATGTCGCACTGTGTCATTTTGTTGATCGGAACTGTCATACTGTTGTATTGGATGCTTTTGATTGCGTTATATAAGAAAACGAGCATACATATTTCGCAATGCACAAAACCACTGGCAATCAGTTGAATGGGAACAACTACACATGGTTTCGGTTTTGGGTTGCGGAATATGGACTCCACTGATGTTTAGGGTACCGTGTACGTTTCTGTATTACCTGTGGCGAAAACAACCCCTTCAGCTCAACTAGGCCAGGGTTTTCAAGTCTTTACAGTGTTAACTGGATCTGAAAAAGTGTGCCTGGTAACATGAACAACTTCCAGACACACTGTCTATTCCTGTAAGATATAAGGGACGGTAGGGTAGCCTAGTGGTAAAGCGTTCGCTGCACGTCACGCCGAAAACCTGTGTTCGATTCCCCATATAGGTACAATGTGTAAAGCCCATTTCTGGTGTCCCCTGCCGTCATATTACTGGAATATTGCTAAAAGCGGCGTAAAACCATTTTCACTCACTCGCTGTAAGATATAATAGCGAAAATGAGTCTGGTATTGTATGTTAAGTTTCAAATTCTGAAAAAGACTGTTTACAGTCATCATCATTGACTGAGAGATTAATCCAGAAGTCCCCCAATATATCATTTTGACATGTAACGTTCTACATTTCAAAATAAACTAAACAAAATAAAGTTGAGTACACTTTTTGAATTTCAATAAGTGCTGGATGAGGATCGAGCTAAGGTATGCTAATGAGTTATTGACTAATCCAATTAGCAGACACACTACCATGGGTGCTATCACTATTAAGTAACCAAGTCATTAGCGTATTATTGTTGGATTTGTGCATTAAGAAAGGAAGCTAACCTATACACTTCATCATACTAACCCATTTGATCATAAAGGGGTGCCTGATTTGTAAGTGGTGCCCAACCCAAAGGAGATCTTGATGATGTGTTTGATCAGCATGCTGATGCCTTTTGATAACCTGAGATATTAAGAGATACTGAACAGTATTATATTTTCTTCACAGAATTGAAGGTTTCCATTCACCTCAAAATTCTGAATTTCAACAGCCTGTTGTTTTATTTTTGTAGGATCCTTTAGAATGAGTGAAAAGAGAGGAAAGAAACGTCCAAAGTCCTACTACCGAAAGTCATGTCATCAGAAGCGTCAGAGATTAAATAACCTGGCTGCTGGTATGAAGGGATTCCTGATCACATGCAACAACAACGAGAAGCAGGCAGTCAGAGAGTGCTATAACATCCTCAATGAATATGCTGATGATCTATATGGCCCTGAAAAGGTAAATGTTTATTTTTCCTTATCCTGACTCATGCTTATTGCTTGTCTTCTTCTTCTGGCGAACCTAGTGGAACACTTGTATCTCCCAATTGAAGTTCCCTTCAATAAAAAATCACTCATTAATACTGACCACGAGTTACCTCCCTTCCACAAGCGCGGGAACGAGGGCGCCACCTGAACCCATGTGCCTCACTCTCTCCTTCTTCGCCCAGTGAGCTGGTCGTGAGAGCGCCTGTGTCTCCCAACACACTATATCCTTTTAGTTTAGTACCTCTTATACTTAGTATAGAGGTGTAACTAGTATCCTTATTCAACTTGCATTGATTATTAATGGCATTTCTGCTGTTTATTCACGGTTCGCCGTGATTGTTCAGTAGTTTACGCTAATGAGAATCTGCACAGATTGTAAACTACGTTATTCCGCTACTGATCCACATTTAAAATGCCCTAGTTGCATTACTCCATGTTCTTTTGTTTCTCGTTGTAAATTATGTATTAATTTACCAATTTCTGCCTTTGATAAATATTTATGTTCCGTTTTTAGACGGAAGGCAGATAAATCTTGCAAACAATCTTCAGTCATGGCTATTAGATCAGAAGCTAATATTCCCTGTCAATGTTGACTGACGACCTGCCACCGGCTGGTGGCATGCCTGAGTTCCCTCAGAGAATAGCGTGGGACGCAGTCCGCTATGTCCAAGCAGCGACCTGCATCTCAAGACCTGTCGTCTTCTCAGTCTAAGACTAGGAAAACGTCCATATCATCACATACGTTTCGAACCCTAGGTCTACAGCTACGCCAAAAGGGAAATCTACAAAATCTAATAATTTTGCCTCAGATAGTTTACCTATCACAGAATTATCTTTATATGATGATGACATTCCAATTATCATTCCAGATGCTCGTCATAAGAAGCGTCTTGTTTCTAAGCGACTGTTACCTCAGCGCAGATTAGCACACAAACCGAGATGTCGACACTATCACCAGAAATTTTATCTGAGGGTCCCGTCACCTCTGCAGAGAGACATCCTCATCAAAGCAGACCGCTTCAGACGACTTGATCAACCAGATAATGAGGGTGATGGAAGACCGCTCTACGGCTTACAGAGGCCTCAGAGCCACGGGGCCTCAGAGCCCACCCCATATCAAGTCATACAGGGCCTCAGAGCCCGCTTTTGGGCTTCGCTGTGGGGCCTCTGAGCCCATAGACGCGCCTCCACGAAGGGCAACCCTGCCCGGAGTGAGCTCTTTGCATAAGGTATCCCAGGCCGCCTCCGTGAAGGAGCTAGAGCCTCACTTTTGCAAGAGGCTTCGCGGAGAAGGAGCGCTTCGCCGAGCACGCACCTTGTCATGCACGGCATGCGTTCGCGAAGCAAGCGCTCATATGTCGATACGGACACTGACTCGATACATTCGCGAAGGTCGCGAAGGCTAAGTGGCTCCAGTTCTTCATCGCCTAGAAGATCTACATCGCCTAGAAGAGCTTCGTGAAGCCCCCAGCGTTCGCGAAGCCCCCAAGAGTTCGCGGAGGGTGTCTCCTCCAAGGTCTCCTTACACTAGCCACTTGTCAGTCCGTTCATCACAGTCCTCTCATAGATCTTCCTATAGATCTAGGACTCCAACATGTGACCCTACGTCAAAAGAGGAGGAAAGTATCATTTTCTCAGATGCTGAGATTAGATACTGGATGGTGAATGAGTTACAACGTGTTTTTTTCATCGAAAACGAGAATTCAACTCAGACTTACGTCATGAAGAATGATGATGTAGACTATTTCACCTTACCTCCTATTGATCCGATTGCAGCGGTACCAACTAATCTGGATACAGCCTGCTCTAAATCTTCGGAAGCCCAATGCAGATCTGCAGACAATTCTATTACGGAATTGAACAGCAACCTTGTTACAGCTTAATAAAACTCATATCGCCAACGATTTCTGAGAAGAAATATGTACAACAAGTTCAGCTTTAATTCTACAATTATGACGATACATTCATGTATACAGTCTACAAGTTGACAACTTGCAAGTTTTATTAAACCTTTATATAAGGAAGTCGAATTATCTTCAAGACTGAAGTTACTTTCACGACAGCCAGGAAAATAACCTACCCAGCATTAATATTATAGAGCTGAGGTATTTCGCTACCGGAGGTTTCGCGACGCTTACCATTAACCCTCAAACACGTGGTTACTCGGGTAACTTCGAAGTTACGGTGAAGACCGACGATTGTTCTAATATCAACGACGGCACTATATTATACAAGGTTCCTTTTCCTGCTACACCGGGTGACATCACAGCGCGGGTACTCTTACAGAATCAAAATGCCTTGTTCTGATTGGACCGCTGATGGACAACGCCCTACACAGAGGTCGAAAGCATAGTTCAGTTCAAGACTTAGGTTGCAAGTGACAACATTATCTCAGTGAGCATCGCCAAGGACTTCGCGAGCTTAATTTTCCTTGACGACGGTATACAAGTGGATCCAAATCCACAGCGCCTCAGACTACAGTTGAATTTCATCATCAAGACCAAGAGATTGAATGTTTGCGCCAAGCCGCCTCCTTAGTAGAGCCGGAATCGAAAACACATCTGTAATGACGCGCCACTACAAGGTTGGGGAGCCCACCTTACCGCAGGACAGCCTCAGGTCTATGGAGCAATCAAGAGAGCAAATGTCACATAATCTGCTAGAGATGCAAGCAGTTATAAACGCCATAAGTCACTGGAGCAACCTACTACAGAACGCCAGATAATGGTTCACACAGACAATTCAACACTGGCGTTTTTTTATGTGAACAAACAAGGTTCAACTAGGTCACAGAACCTACTGACTCGATGTTTCAGACTGTTCGATCGAATCGACAATCTAAACATACATGTCAGTACTTGCTACATTCCAGGAGCATAGAATGTATTAGCAGACGCCTCTGGGCTACACCTACCGTCACCGACAGAATGGATGCTCCACACAGGAAATAGGATCTCCTCTGATAGACCTATTCACCCCTCGGTTCAACAAGCAACTGACAACATTCGTATCGCCAGTGCCAGACCCACTAGCATGGGCAACGGACACACTAAGCAAGTCTTACAGAAAATCAGTCAAATGCAGAGCCTCCATCTGATTTGGTCACGCCCTACTGGCTAGCGAGAACTTGGTTTCCAGATCTCATACAAGAAATCGGAAAACTAATTCTTCAGCTCCCACAACGCTCCAATCTATCGATACATCTGCACACCAAACAAGTGCACGATACACCAGAAGCATTCCAACTTCACGTATGCATTGTATCAAGGCATGTCTGAATAAGAGGTTATTCTGCCAGAGCGGCTACAGCGGTCACGCTTTGCACGACGTAACTCGACTCGTAACTTATACGACATGACAAATGGCACAGTTTTGTCAATTACGCTAAAGAAAGGATTTACAGCCAGATATGCTACACATCCTCAAGTGGCAGATTTCTTATGTTATCTACGCTTAAACTAAGAATCTAAAAGGCTCAACCTTGTCCATTTATCTGGCAGCTATAAGTTCTGTCATACTATGAGAGCGAAGGCCAAGTTGACAAAACGCCAGAGTTACTCGGTTTGTTACAAGCTGCCTCGATTGAGGATTAGAAACGGAAGTTTCACGCCCAGCTTGGGATCTAATATAATGCTCCAACACCTCACTAGTGAGGTTTTTTGAACCATCGCTATCTACATCGCTTTGAATCACTGACCCACAAAACCTTGATCCTGTTAGCACTAGCTACGCCACCAGGATGTCAGATTCACGCACTGGATTACTTAGAGAACACGCTTTGATGATTTTCATAACATAGCTCATCTGGGACTTCGCTGGGATTTTATAGGAAAACCAACTGCCAGGTCAACCAGACAGATTATTCCACGCCCCAGCTCTCTCATCCATACTTGGACCGCATGATACGATGGATCTATCACTATGCCCAGTTCGTACACTGAAAATATATCTCCAACGATCCAAATAGAGCAGGGATATTCAAGAGATTATTTATCCCTATATCTACAGCTACGCAGACGGAAGTCTTACGCACTACTATATCTATCTGGATCAGAACTGTCATACTCACGCGCCTACAAGGCTGTAGGACGCGACCCTCCAAGAGCTTCTAATCCTCACTTAAATTAGAGCTAGCCACAACTCTCGCCTACATGGGAATTGTTCGCTGAATACCATAATGGAGGGATGTTTCTGGAGATCCGATATGGTGTTTGCCAACCACTATCTGAGAGATATCACCACCAAGGAAGTCTCAGATATCCACCGTTTCGGTCCCATGGTCCTCGCTCAACAGTTGACAGTTCCACGGAGAAGATAAGTCTATCTTACAGATTTTATACTTATCGGATGACAGTACTAATAGATACATGCTATCTATATATTTTGCTTAAGTTTAATTTATTATCTTAAGCTCAGTACTATGGTGTTTATATCATACTATATATAAGCTAACAACTCTACGGAGTTTGTTATTATATATTTAGCTTAAGTTAATCATATCTTAAGCTCAATTCTATGGTTACATTATAATGTATTAGCTAACAAACTCTACAGAGTTTTTGCTATTATATATTTAGCTTAAGTTTCATCATATCTTAAGCATTATGGTTACATTATAACATGTATTAGCTAACAAACTCTACGGAGTTTTTGGCTATTATATATGTAGCTTAAGTTAATTCATATCTTAAGCTCAGTACTATGTTTATATCATATAAGTATATTAGCTAACAAACTCTAAAGAGTTTTTTGCTATTATATATTTAGCTTAAGTTTCATCATATCTTAAGCATTATGGGTACATTATAAAATGTATTAGCTAACAAACTCTACGGAGTTTTTTGCTATTATATATGTAGCTTAAGTTAATTCATATCTTAAGCTCAGTACTATGTTTATATCATAAGTATATTAGCTAACAAACTCTAAAGAGTTTTTTGCTATTATATATTTAGCTTAAGTTTATTCATATCTTAAGCATTATGGTTACATTATAAAATGTATTAGCTAACAAACTCTACGGAGTTTTTTGCTATTATATATGTAGCTTAAGTTTATTCATATCTTAAGCTCAATACTGTATTATATCATATAAGTATCTTAGCTAACAAACTCTAAAGAGTTTTTTGCTATTATATATTTTGCTTAAGTTTCATCATATCTTAAGCATTATGGTTACATTATAAAATGTTTTAGCTAACAAACTCTACAGAGTTGTTTTGGCTATTTAGGTAGTCTTAAGCACAGTACTATACTCATATCATAAAGTATATTAGCTAATAAACTCTAGGGAGTCTTTTGCTGTTATACGGTACTGTGATTCTATATCATACTATATATATGCCTACAACTCTTAGGAGTTCTACTATTATATATATGTTCAGCTTAAGTTTCAATCCTTAAGCTCAGTCATATGTTCAGTTCATGACATGTATTAGTTAACAAACTCTCAGTAATTGGTTACTATTATACAGCTTAAGTTATAGTTATATCTTAAGCACAGTTATATTATAGCTTATATATATGCATATTGTAAGCTTAATACTTTGGTTCATTATAAAAGTATTCACTATAAACTATCAAGAGTTTATACTATCACATTAATGGCTTCAGCTTACTTAATGTTATATATACTTTTATTATATTCAGTCAATTGTAATAACCCTTATATGGCAGCTGATAAGTTAACAGCAGGAATTCTTCAGTTCAGTGCCTTTATGAAGTTCCCATAGGGTTATTGCAATCATCTCAGTTCAAATCACTAATTAGTAAAATCCAAAGTATATATAATCCCACCTCCTTATCCGTAGAGGATTCTACAAACAATAGCATGAGTCAGGATAAGGAAAATATGAAATTTTTAGAGTAAAATTAATATTTTATACTTATCCTGACTCATCAGGTAAGCCCTCCCATCCTCCCCACATAACACTTTGGATTTCCCTGGAAATTCAGGTGTTGGGCTCAGTATATGAGGAGAGAGTGAGGCACATGGGTTCAGGTGGCGCCCTCGTTCCCGCACTTGTGGAAGGGAGGTAACTCGTGGTCAGTACTAATGAGTGATTTTTTATTGAAGGGAACTTCAATTGGGAGATACAAGTGTTCCACTAGGTTCGCCAGAAGAAGAAGACAAGCAATAAGCATGAGTCAGGATAAGTATAAAATATTAATTTTACTCTAAAAATTTCATATTCCTGTCCATGGTGTAGTTGATAGAGTGGTTGCACATGATTTCCAAACAATGTTGTATGACATCACATGTGCTATGTTCCTGAGTGTCGGCTCACACAACATACCTGTGTGTTCATTTGTATCAAACCAATTTAATATCTCTTGAATCTGAGTAATTCTTCTGGTATTAAGCAACATGTTGGGTGTTTGCATTTCTTTAGGTACTGAGAATATAATAGTTTTGTCTGCAGTGTAGTTGTACAAGAGGTATGGTGATGAGATGCAGCCTAGCACCTGATCTCCTCAGCCTTCTGACAAGACCGGCGGTGTTCCATATCTCTATACATGCACCTGCATTGTGTGTGGACATTGTACTCAAAACAAACTTACTGGTACGTTCATCAAGGCCCCAAGAACAAACCAAGAACGCCTAATATCCAAAATAGTAAAAACATACAATACCTCTCAAAATGTTTGAAATTCTACTAGCCTTTAGGATACTTAACATTAACAAAACTGGTCTGGGCAAACAAGCTTGTCCCAATTTCCATTCTTTCCCCACCTGTTTATTGAAAGCATACACATACATGTACGGAAATAGCTTGGTCATAATTCAAGTTTATCTCAGTTCTGATGATGTATGACATGTTGCAGTTAACCGGAGAAAAGATGCAGGCTCAGACAAGTCTGACTCGGAGGAAGAGGAGGATGTGGAGAAGGCCATGGCCAGAGAGCTGAAAGCCATCAAGGAAGTTCAGCAAAGTGCGCAGAGGCGGTTTCAAAATACAGACACGCATGCCAAAAACTGCATCTTTATCAGGACATCGCTAGACAACCCCATTGAACTACATCACAAGATATTCTCCGACCTCTATGAGAAAAAGGTGTCCAAGGCCAGGTATGCTATGCGAATGTTGCCCATCGCTGGAACATGTAAAGCAGTGCTTAATGACATAAAGAATCTAGCAGACACCATCCTGCCCCCATACTTCCCATCAGAGATGGGTCAAGAGAGATCATATGCTGTGATGTTTAAGGTGAGGAATAATAATGGCATTGGCAGGGACAGTGTGTTGCCGTTGTTGGGCGAAGTCGTCAAAAGTTTGAATCCTTTGAACAGAGTGAACTGTGACAGTCCCGATGTTGTTGTTTTAGTGGAGATCATCTCTAATGTATGTTGTTTAGGAGTCTCCACAGATTTCTTCAAATTCAGAAAATGTAATTTCCATGAGGTTGTTAAGGAGCCTGACGTTAAACAAGAGAAGGATGTTAAATCAGAGGAGAAAGTGGAAATATCAGGAGAGAAGAATGGATCTGAAACAAAAGGTGATGAACAGAAAGACATGGCTGACAAGAGTGACCAGAAACCTGGCAAGGAAGAAGTGGCATCCACTGAGGGAACAGTTGAGTTGGAGGCAGAAACAGAGGATGGTGCTGAAACAAAGGATGGGGCTGAAACAAAGGATGGGGATTCGGATGGGACTGACCAGATGGGTGAACAGCAGTCACATGTGGCCGCCGTGAAGGAGGAAGGGGAACACGAAACCTGTATGACGAAGGATGAGAGATGAACACCTGGAAGATGGGAGCTAATACAGAGTGTATTAAAGGATACAGGAAGGGGACAAGGGGGATCATCACGCCAAGCAGTTATGAGAAAATGATTATACTGAGGCATTAGAATGTATAGATTGTGGAGGTGAGAGGTCATGGCAATACTGGTGTTATTTCACCATTTGGTTATGGAGCAGAGATGTTTTACCAACCTGTATCCTGCTTTTTCCCCAAAAATATTGCTGAGGGCGGCGTTAAACAACAAACTTACTTTCAAGATGCATGAGTATTTCTAAGGTTAATCTTTGGTTCAAGTGCCTACTAGATATTGTTCTCCCATCTACCATTATTCCTGTGACCTTTTACCCAAATGCATGTAAAGGATGGACACTCTTTTATGAACTAAATATTTTCAGAAATAGACTTACTGTTTTGTTGTTTGATACGAAATATTTAAAATACTAGTAAATTGTTTTGATAAATAGGGGCCAGTTAACAGTCTTGAACTGGAGTGAACTTCCACGAGTTACCCTATGTCCAGGGTACTATCCCTCCGATACTGTACTGTGACCGACTTGGTTCCAGGTTACTATCAACATGTCAACTCTCCTGTAGGGGTGATTATTTCATGATGATTGCGTCACATCACAGTGGAAACGTTCCAAGCTGGACTCAACTCTGATCCTTCCATGTTCATTTTGCCTAATACCAAGGGAAGTAACTCACTGAACGTCTGTCTGCTGTCTAAACCAGACTTAGACTCAGTCCCATGCAAGTAAGGTTTAGACAGATCCACTGTAGCAGTGTTAATATGTTGACAACAGCTTTTTTCACTGAAGAGAATGATGTACACAAGAAAACAAAAGATTTTGTGATAAAATAGTTTATTCATTGAAATGGAATGTTTGGTCGCTGTTACACATGTACAGATAACAAGGGTATTTCTTTCAAGTTATTCTTCAATATTCGTCTAAATGACTGTTTTGTAAAGCATCAATTGAGCAAGCAGTCAACAGAGATTCTGAACATACTATGTTTCCCCTCCAATGATAATATATTACATCAAGAAATTAATTGTGCTTTTCATAAAATGCTCATTCTTATGAATTCAAGTTGTGTATATACAAACTAGTTGTTGGTAATTTGTAAAGTGGGTTGTCAAGATTAAGATTTCATCCTTCACAGTTCAAGATATACAACGTGTACAAGTTTTGAAATCTATTTTGGGGGCTAGGTTGTTAATTTTGCTGCGGTATGTTTAAGCTTTCCGGTCCAATGGATACCGTAACCATAATGAATATCAGTGGTGACAACAGGTTAGTCCTGGGGCCTAATACTGCTTGTTATTCATGAGTTAAACTACAATGGAAATATCTCCTCAGCCAGAGCTTTCATAATTTCCCCCAAATTGTTGAGGTATTCTTTCTGCCTTCAAGAATTGGGCTGTCTTTCATTTTCACCTGCCCCCTCCCCAATATGGACTTGTCATGTATTTTAAGGACTCAATATGTGATTTTGGGATTAGTATGTACATAGAAGGTAAAATTCACAAAAGGAGATATTGATGCATTAAGCACTGCACATGGATCTTATATTCACAGCAGAGTACCCGGTATATGTCGGAACTCTACAATATCATAAGATAATGACTAATTAAGATGCCATAGTGAATTTATTTTACTTAGTCAAATTTGGAAAGCAAGTTACCTTATCATGTACATGTTAGAATTGGAAGATAATAACAAGGCACATTGTGTCGTACCAATAATATTGCAAAGTAAGTGTAGCCTATTTTAAAAATGTTGCTTCTTCTCATATGATGACCAAGTGAATGTTATGTCTGCCATCAAAACACAAAATCTGAAACCACTACCTGTTTTCAGTCGAGTTCAGTATTTGTATTTCTTTCTAGTTTTGCAAAGTTACAATATAAAGGTATAGAAATTTAAAAAACATTATTTTGATTATATTGCATAAGTAATATTGCAAGAACATGAAGAGTAATGTACAAAAGATTAGAATGTTGCTGACATAAATTTCAAACCGTAAGTTCATGTACAAATCTGATAAAAACATATAACTGCATGTTCAATAAAATAAAACATTAACGACAATCTCATATAATCAGAAATAATATATTCCCGTCTGAAATGATAAATTAATCAGGAAAATAGAGCTCTACATCTTATTGAAAAATATTCCATGTTGAATTATTCTACAAATTCACTCACCTTTTCATACATTGCACCTGTTCACAATAAAGACGGCAATGTATCGCTTCTGTACAGTTAATATATCACACTTATATTATTCACACAAAATTTATTCATGAGATTACAACTCGAAATTGCATTAGTTTTACTGTTACCACTATAAACATAACTTATTAGAGATTCTGCATAACATATTGTAAAGCACTGAGTATTAACACAACAGATAGTAGTATAGGATAGTTAGACTTTGAGAGGACTTGGTAATGTAAGCTCCAAGCTTCGATTACATTTGTATTGTAGTCAACTGAGTAAAAAAGTTGATAAAAGCATGTAACTAATGTATTGCTGTTGGAAAACTTGAAAATATCAAAAGAGTACATGAGATTCAACAAAAACCTCCATCACTATACAACATCTAAAAAAATAATGTCATGAAATGTGAAAAAATAGGGAAACTGTGAGCTTTATTGAGAGATGCAGTAGAGTATTTTGACGATGCATTCTCCAAGTTTAGTTTGAAAAGCAAAAGAGATATTGTATGAACTGCATGGTCGTCAGACTCAGTAAAGTCAGGTTCTTAGGAGGATTGTGATTAAAATTACTGTCTGAATATTCATGAAGTATTTTTTATGATTAACTGCAGGAAACTGCTGGCTGTCATGAAAAACGTTTAGGAAGATTTAAGAAAAAAATGGATAGGCTAAGGCTAATCTTATGTAAAGAAATGCATGGTTTGTCTCCCCTTGACCATCCAATCCTTCAGCTTGAGTCGGCTTAATGAGCAAAAGCTCCATAAAAAGAGAGTGCGTGTGAATAAGCTCTCAAAGTGCACCAAGTTCAGACAATTGTTGGCACTGACATGTGGTTTACGAACATAGATTCCCTGTCTACACAGTGTAACATACATGCCAATAAAAAAAAGAAGGAAACAAAACAACATGGTGATGATGAAACTATGATAACATGTCAACAATTTATACAGGAGGTAAGTTTATATACTTAGCTCAAGCTTTCTTTCCAGTAATTCCCAAATAAATTTAAAATCCAGACCAGTCTACGGCTTTGTAACATAAGAGAACAAAATATAGAAATACAAAACTAAAAACATTATATGTGCACACTTCTAAATCTATGAGAATGAGTTAAGTTTTACGCCAATTTTAGCAATATTCCAGCAATATCACGGCAAGCGACACCAGAAATGGACTTCACACATTGTACCCATGTGGGAAATGGAACCCAGGTCTTCGTCGTAACGAGTGAAGGTACTCCTGCACAAATGTGTGTCACTGTGTGTGTGTGTATTATTTAACACAACTCTCAGCAATTTTCCTGCTATGTAATGGTGACAACATTATCTGATCTGGACCAAGCAATCCAGTGATTGAGATATTGTGAGCAGTGATCCAGGCCATTGGGATACAGGCAATAATCAAGTCCCCAAGCTTGACCACCTGACCCACTTACTGACCTCTAACCCAGAACCCCCAAACGGGCCAGGCAGAAGAAGGCACAGCTGGCAACACAGGTAGATGCTTACACACACACACACATTTGTGCCACAGACCGAATATAAATACTGAGAGTCTAGCTGAGATCTGGGCAGACTGGTGTCAAGCGTGGAGAGAAGGAACTTCAGGAGACTGCCATTATTAACAAGAATCTTGGCATCATTAATTAACAAATGTACAATGAACATTGGGATAATTCAGTCAACAGGTAAAAACGATAGTTCAAATTGAAAGAATGTTTTCAAGTGTCATAATTCTTATCAATACATGTACATGAAATTAAAATTTGCGTAAAATAAGATAAAATGTATATAAATACTTAAACCTCAGATCATTATTAAAACAATCTATATAACAAATACCTCGAACCACTTCTATGATTTGTGCTTGGTACATCAAATCAAATATTATATAGTCACAATTTTACATCTTGATCAATGTACAAAGAGTATGTTTCCAAGGATTTTGTTTCACTTGTTTGGTCAATCTGGATTGTTGCTGGGTGGCTTTCATCATTTATTTTGAAGCTGACATGGTTCAATCTTGACACCTCCCTTCAGACATGTCCTGGACTGAATTCAGACATGACCAAGACTGAATTCAGACATGACCCGGACTGAATTCAGACATGACCCAGACTGAATTCAGACATGACCCCGACTGAATTCAGACATGACCCAGACTGACATGACCCCGACTGAATTCAGACATCACCCGGACTGAATTCGGACATGAGCTTTGAGGTCAGACATGCTGATCTAGATCGGATTCAGACAATAGCTGGATCAAATTCAGAGAGGCATGACCCAGATTGAATTTGGACATGGTCCAAAATTTGAGTTCATTTCATTCAGGATGTTAAGTAATAACAGCTGTAACATAACAAGTCTTCAGATAATTTCAGTATTGCTAGTATTAAAGTTGCTGTAGTTGTCAGTCAGCTGATATTGCCCTTGGTTGTCTAGGTTTCACAGGATTGGATTATGCAATGCTACAGAGTTTTGTGAGACAATTACTGCATGAACACAACACCCATACTGCAAGGTGACATCATCCTGTGGCACTGTCGTTCTTACAGGACCGTGCCAGTGTGTACACCATGGACCAGGACATGTCAGCTGGAAAAAACATACACAATTCCTCATGACAGAGACATATCTACAATAAGAAAAATTCATTAAAAATATCCAGCAAGTTGTTGATAAGTTAAGATTTTCCTGCTTCTCATGACAAAAGAATTTGGTCGAGAGGTAGCATTCTTTTCTATTCTGTTTCATTTGGCACAGTGTTTAGTAGGTGAAATATCTGTAGAGGTAACTTGAATTTAATGTAGTAAGTAACTTATTTTGGTCAAACTTATCAGCTCAAAGTACGGGTATGTATGGTTTTATGCCGCTTTTTGAATATCACAGTGGGGTCACCCATGTATTAATCACTAGGCTACCCCCACCCACACCCCTCTCAATGGATGAAGATCAGTCCATGATCATACACAAACCTAACATGCTATGAAACACTGATGTTAAAATAGTTCCCTCTTAAATACTTATGTTTTAATTCATGCAGAGGGGCACATACCATTTTAAAAACCATCTCTACCACACAATAACCATCTTATGTCATGCAAGACATTGTCATCTAGTCGGGTTATCATCTAGGTGAAAATATAAAACTAACTACAAAAATGTGGATGTAGATG